AGAAAACGAGCTTTAAACTTACAGTAACAGTACTTGTCAAAATAAAACTTCAATACCTTAAGATTCGAGTTCCGTAAAAAACAAAACTTCGAATTTCTTCCAGAATTTTAGGTTAAGTCCCGCCTTAATGCTGCATTTACATTATATGTTAATAGCACCATGAAACCTAGACCTTCATCACAGCATGAACCTAAAGCGAGGTAAAATTGCTTCTCCAGTCAAGAAAAACTGTTTAGAAAATTTTCTTTCCATTTTTTTATTCCGGTAGGTTCCGACACAGAATACTCATTAAATAGTTTGTAATAGTGTTTACAGCGCATTTTAGACAAGGGTAGAGTACTATCTTAGGATAAGTAGAGCAGATCAGGAGTTGAAAAAAGGCATTCACTGGAGATTGGAGTTTGCTGTGCAGTTCGCTTCAGCGAACTTGGTATAGCAGAAATAATTTGAAAGTATTGCAGGTAATTGACTTTAAACCAAATTTTTCATTGAATTTGTCAAGAGATAAGAATTTTCCGTCTTTACTTTAAAAGAGGTCTTGCACAAAATAAATTCCACTCTTGAACCAAGTTTTCCAAAACAGTGTTTATTGATTAATTGTTATGTCCTTGTTGTTCAATTCCATAATATAAATTTCCCTCTTGGTTTTCCTCCGTATGCACTGCTCAATTCTTGAAAATATCCTAGCAGTTCGTGATAAAACAGGGGGAAATTCGCTTCGAATAGATGGACATCGTAGTTGCACTTTAATAAAAAGGTTAGACCGTCATATTTGTTTAAAAAATAGTTAGGGATAGCCTTCCAGTTGGCGTTTGCGCCATCGAGAAATCTGCCAATCCAACTCAACCGTAACGATTTGATCATTGTTCAGAAGTTTATAAAATTTAAGCCTCCGTCAGATATTGTTTGATAAATGATCTGTCTCTTTATTTTATCCTTTTTGTTCCTCCACAAAAAAAGCGAAAAGTTCAGCTTGAGTTTTCTTGATCACAGGTTCAGGGACAGTTAACATTGATGCTGCATAAATCAATTGAGAGACACCCACTGTCTTCGCCTGCATTGAACGACCGTACAGTGAGACATCGGGTGTTTGCCAAATGTTCAGTTTCGTCTTCATTTTACGAATTTTACTAAAAAAAATTTTCCTCATTGTTTTTGTCTCCATCATACGATAAAAACGCGCCAAGAGCCTTAATTGGTTCTGTTATGCACTTGAAACCCATAATTCTGTCCTTATTACCTTTTTGAGAACCGATCCACATTATCTTTGTTTTGGTTTTGTTCAGGTTCAGGCCTGATAATGCACCGAAGCTATTGATTATCTGAAGTGATGCTTAGAGAGATGCTACAGTGCTTGAAATCACAGTTGCATCGTCTGCAAATTGCGTCAATCTTGCTTCACGCGAGTTAGGTAGGATGATACCCTTACAGTCGGGATCATGGCGGAGTTTTAGTGACAAAATTTCCACTGCAAGTACAAATAAAAAAGGACTTAACGGACATCCTTGCCGTACACCTCTAGAGACTTGAACCTAAAGCGTTAAAACCCTACCTAAGGCTGATTTACGCCAGCTTTACGTACACGTGTACGTCAGAAAAATTCAAAAAATTTGTTCGATTAATGTCAGTATTGAAAATAAATGTAACAGGCAATATGTGTATCAGATAATAGATCACTTCATGGTTGGTGATGAACGCGTACGATTTTTATTCACAAATGAATCGCACAAGCGAACTAACCATGAAGTAATTTGTTTATTATATCAGTACTGAAATATTACAAATGTTTGTAACTTTAAATCACAGTTAAGTGACCACAAAAGACAAAGAAGTCGCGAACTTGATGTGGCTTTTATTTAGACCCAATCAATGCTGTCAAGGCGACTGAAATACTGAATTCATTCGATTAGGCTTAAAAAGGCGAACCTGTACTTTTAAAATAATTTATTTCAAGAAAGAAGATTAACAAAACTAACTAACAAAACTAACAAAACGTTTTCTACTCTGAATTTAATAGAGTACTTTTAGTCTTTTGTACCTCTTTGTGGACTTTACCTCAGTTTCTAGAGTGGCCAAGGTGGGTGATTGATTAAGGCTGCTGCTTGACATGTTGAATTGTCCACCATAAATAACAGCATCAGTAAAGAGCGACATTGCTTGCTGGCCACGTTAGCGGAACTCAGCGTTTTTCGTAATGCTGAATACGTAATTCTTCTTCTTTAAATAGACCGTTCAAAACTAGCCATCAAAGAACGAAAGGAGCTGGATTCATAGTCTTCGTTGCTGTCTTTCTTTCGAACCGTAATGGTAAATTCACCGATGTGTGCATTCAGCTCCTTCGGAGTCTTGACTCATTCCTGGACGTCAGAAATTCCTTAAGTAAAGCAACATTCTGTTGAGTTTTCTTTCTTGTATTTTCGTTTTCTTGGTCCTCGATAAATCGTTCCACTGAATTAATGTCTGCAAACCTTGAAGCCATGATTCTGGGCAGGCAAGGGACATTGCAAACATTCACACTCAATTACTTCGCATGGCCGCCCCGAAAGGCGGGAAAAACCGATACGATTTTCCCGATTGCGAAAAAAATGGTATCAGGCTTCTGATTGATCATACGATATTTTTCACCAGTGAGAAAAGTCGTATGACCGATAGGATTGTTCTCATCAAAAAGAGACGATTTTTACGCGGTGAATTTGCACTTAGTAAATCTCAGTACTTTTATAAAAATATATCTATTTTTTAAATTTGTCTTTAAGTTTTTTTTTCCGCGAACTTAAAAATAGACCGAAGGGATGGAAAATTGAAAACGATACTGGACGCCTTCTTACCTTGCGTTTTAATAATTGCTAAGAATTCAGTTTTAAAGAGAACTATTTGTCTTGGATTCCCATATACAGCTGGCGGGATATTTTGACTTCTTTACGGCTAACGGTTAAACCATTTTCTTTACGGTTAAAAGAAATAAAGTCTTTATTATTATTATTATTATTATTATTATTGTTGTTGTTGTTGTTGTTGTTGTTATCGTTATTATCATCATCATCATCATCATCATTATTATTATTATTATTATTAATCCTTGATTTATACCACTAAGTGAGAAGACGAGCATCCCCGACCACTTCATGTACATGGGAGTCCCCCCCCAACCCGGGGTTGCCTCCACAAAAGTGATGTTTAAACTGTCAAATCCTTTCTGCTTCATTTCCTTCTTAGTAGAAATTCATGCCGCAGGAGATATAGAAGAGGATCCAAATGTACAGACTGTACAGGTATGGTTCTTAGACTTACACTGGTTCAAACGAGTGAAACTAAGTGTGACTGAAAACTTACAACGGAGGTTTACTGTGCGATGATTTCGGCATGTTGTGCATGGTTGGTTTGAGAATTGTACACGAGGGCAACACATCTGACAAAATAAGTTAGGTTGTATATTAATTTACCAAGACCAGTCTGACAAAGTTTAATTGCATCCTTTTCCTAAAGAAAATATCATCACATTCCCCTCACCACAGTCTCAAATTGTAACGTGGTAGAAAATTGGTAATTAAAAGCTTTAAGGGAGCTACCTAACGTCACCGCTTGGGCATAGTTTAGCCTAAATTGTTCAAGTTCGTCGTTTGTAATCCGTGCTAATCTTCTCCACCTTTTCCATACTGATTCCTTTATGGTTTATTATTATCTATTTGGTGTTTATGAGTAAACTTTTATTTCCAGGTTTCTTTCAATTGAAAGGTAATTTTGCACCAGGCCAAAATAACTCAAAATAACGTGAAGTGAGCTCTACGAATCGTTCTTTTCACAAGGTCACAAAGCACATCAGTACACGCCGCGTAAACCATATTATTTTGGGGTACTCAAGGACGCCCGACAAGAATTAGAATCCGGCCTGTTTTTGTATTTCGACTTAAACATTCCAGGCGCGGTGTACATCATACATTGTATGCATCTTAAGGTGCTTTCAAGCTTGAATACTCTACGATGACCCTGGGTATTGTGTTACAAAATGACACAGATCAGATCTGCAATATGTTTCCATTGGCTGCAGCTGAGACTAACAAACTACCTTTTTCGTTTCTCCTTCATAGGAATCATATATTCTCAACACTCCAAGAGAGTTACGACAACGAGAACGCAGAAGGCTGGTTGAGAAGTTTTGTCAAAAGACTGGACACAATGCCATGCCAGACCCTTTTCACTTGGCAGTGATTCCTTCTCTCAAAATACTATACTGTGTAACACCTAAAGCGGCTTCCAGGCAGTGGAGGACAATGCTGTATCACTTTAACAAAGGCCTAAGAGGGAACTTGCGATTGAATTCATTTCCTCCTGACCAGCAAAAGCGGATGTTGCAAACATATTTCAAGTTCACGTTTGTTCGTGAGCCGTTCGAGCGCATTCTGTCGGCGTACAAAGACAAGTTTATCAATCTAAGGCAGGTATCCGTAGACCGCAAAATTCGTGAATTTCACGGCAAAAAAATCCTGAAGAACTTCCGTCCACATGCTTCAAAGAGTGCACTTAAAAAACTCGATGACATCACTTTTCGTGAATTTATTCAATATTTAGTAACCAAAGGAAGCAACAAGAGCACGCCTGTTATGGACTGGCACTGGGACAATTACGTCAACATATGTGGAATGTGTGCCATCAACTATGACTTTGTAGGTCATTACGAAACTTTTGATCAAGACTTAGCAGACTTCAAAGAGGCAGCAGAGTTATCGCCTGAAGTAGCTAAGAGATTCAATGCTCGTGCTAACAATAAATCCGATACCGCCTCCTCTTTACTCAGTTATTACTCGCAGCTTCCCATAGAATGGGTCGACATCCTGGGTCGGTTGTTCAGAGCCAACTTTGAGATGTTTAATTACGACTTTCCGGGACCTCTTAAGAGTCTGTTTGAGTAAAAGAAAAGAACACAGTGAGGATGTGATCATTTTGGCTTCTGTTTTTTTTTTTTTTTTTTTTTTCCCGAAAGGTGGAGTATTCAATGAATATAATGTATCTGCTCCATACCTGTGGAAATCCAATGTAAATTGCAGTTACTTTTCTCCTCAAAATTGTGGCATTTGAGAATCTCTCTCCCTGTACGTGGATCTCACATGGATATTTTCTTGAACTGTTCAGATTCTAAATTGTTTTAGTTATTTATACCAGTACCTAATAATCGAAAGGTATTTTTAAAGGTCTGCTCACATGACTCCAATTGCCAAGGGCTAGTACAATGGTATTCAATTAATTCATTAATGTCTTATTAGTATATCCATGAAGAAGAAGAAGTGAGGAGGCCACTATAATTTTAATGAAGAAGCTGATACGAGCTGAAAGGTGTGGCATTGGAAGGAGGAGAGGACAGGTATAACAGAAATCAATTTAATCAGGCTTCCAGTGATGCTCTTGGTGGAGACAGAAGTATTCCAGACACAAGAAACTCACAGTAAGTTTAATTTGAAATCTTGTTGAAAATTTGTATTTCTTTATTTGTCAAGTGGTCTCAGAGTTTTTTTTTT